ATATCTCAATATAAAAAAAAAATTATGAATAAAAATACTAAAATAGTACCCTGTTTTACACTATTTTTTCCCCCAGTGTAGCATTTAGAGCTATAGGAGGAATTTTCAATTGAGGTTTATAGAAATTTATTGCAAGTATTTGAATAAGTCAGAACAGGCTGTAGGTCTGAGCCGAGTTCATTGGATGTAACTTCTCTTATTGCTTTCGTACTACATTTAGAAAGTGTGATTAGGAATAAAATCTAAATTTTGTACAGTAGTATTATACCTTTGTCAGACCAAAATAATTAGCAAAATATTGACAAGTAGTAATGTGAAAATCCAGAAGTAATAGCTCTGTTTTAGAGCAGGACGGTTACAGTCATTGACACTCCGACCTGTGATTAAAGTAATGGCTATTACAGTCACAATGGTAATGTGAGTGGTCAACTGTTGACACTTGATATGCAGTGGAGTGTAGGGTTAACCGACACATTGAAGTTTCCATAGCTTCTCTGTACATACTACTATAGAGTAGGTTACAAAAAAATGTGTCACTTAAAAATCCCTCTTTTCCTTAAGACCAGAAATATGTAGTTCTCTCATTCATTTTTAAGGTTAATTCCTGTAATTCCTGATGATTAGAGTTTTTTCTGCATCGAAAACAAAATCATAAGGGTTTATGTGTTATTTTTCAGCATAAGGATTTATCTGTTATTTGTTTGTTGGTATCCTCCATAGTCAAGCTCTCTTTTAAATGTGTAAAGTTCTTTATTTATATGTTCTTATCTAGAGCTTGTTCATTATATTTGGCACTTCAGTGACAGTAGATTCACCATGTGACACTGCACAGTGTTTTCCCAGGAGTCTTTGACACCATGTTTGCTCCCTTGTTTCAGTGTCAGCCATGGCAGCAGGTGTCAGTTTGTTGAGTGACCTGCCCTACTCCACCGGCAGTTCAGCTAACAGCAGAGAGTCCAGCACTGGCATGGAGCCAGGTAATAAACTGCTATTTCTGTAACTATGGCTGGAGAATATTTTAAATGAGTAATGCACAGTCTATAATTGAAAATACTTAAGGTGAGATTCTGATATGCATGGACCGAATGCATAGAAATAGTTAACAACAGGTGTGTTTATGTAAAATTACTGGAGCCCTAGATATTAGTTATACAAGTAAAATTTGATTTATGTTATAGTGTCATTTCTAAATCCCAATTCAGATTTTTACTGGTTTACTGGGAAACAAACAAAAAAGAAAGATCACGAGGAAAATATTTGCATTGTAATTAACTACAATAGCATTTTAAATTTGAAAGATTTTGTAAAATTCTATTTATTATATATTGATATTTTAAAGAGGAAACATTAGAACACTAGAGCTTGTTTAGACTATTATATTATAATAGTAATATACTATTATATTATTGTAAAGACATTTATAATGTAATAAGAAATGTTTCTTGAGCACCGAATCAGCATTAGAATGATTTCTGAAGGATCACGTGACACTGAAAACTGAAGTAATTTCTTCTGAAAATTCAGCTTTGGCATCAGAGGAATAAATGAAAATGTATTTTAAAATGTAATAATATTTTTTACAACATTACTGTTTTTACTGTTTTTACTGTATTTTCTAAATTAAATTAATGCAGCCTTGGTGAGCATATTTATTTCAAAACACACACACATACATACATACATATATATATATATATATATATATATATAATTTTTTTTTGTTGCATACTTTCATCTTTCCCTTAAGGGTAATAATGGGTTATAATATGACCACATTAACTTATCTAGACTTGTGCAGACATTTCAAAATCTTTTGTAATCTTTTTTCCAAATCAATATGAAATGACTCATTCCATATCAATTAGCCCCACTAAGTACAGAGATAATGTATCTCCTTTTAATTACCTCTGAATTCAAGTAGGCTAGGTGAGAAGGGACACTCTAATAGCCATGGTAACAAAAACTTTCCTAAGCCTCTTCAGATGTTGATTCGATTAACGTATGAGGAAACCACTTTTCTTTTATGTAGTATTCAGTT